TATCTATATATGTATTTAAATATCTATCTATCTCTATCTCTATATATCTTTATATCATCTCTATATCATCTCTATATAACTATATATAAATCTAACAGATTTGCTTCTGTGTAGAGCTCTATTTAGCTAGAGCAAGATAACTTTAAACCTGTTTAGGGGTTGCAAAGGGAAGAAAGTTTGGGGGAAGTTCAGATGGAAACCAGATTAGTTCTTTGATGCCGTATACTTCTGATATCTTTTCTTGGTTTCCTAATTGCAAATTTGAACTCTTCCTTGTTTTATGACAATGGTTTCAAGAGAGCAGAATAATTGTCTTATTTTCTTTTAAAACCTCCCTAGGAAATGTAAGAAGATCTATGTGGTTTATTTCCTTCAAACTGTCATTCTTCTGCACCCAAGATGCAAAGCCATGACATGCTTAAGCAGAACATTTCCATCCCAGTTCAGACGATTTCCTCCATTTTTTCTTTTCTTCTGGTGAACATTTCCTCAGTATTTTATTGGGTTCTATATATCAAATCTTTCAAAGTGATCTCAAAACATCACTATGGGATTATTAAGAACCTAAAACAGTTACATAGGAGCCTGAGAAATCTTAACTATGCAGAAATCACTAGTTTTGCTTTTAGCTAGTGTTTTCTACTTTATTCATTGTGAGACAGAACAAAGATCGGTAAAAGATAAGATTCCGGATCATCAAATAACTCGATAAATAACAGTCATGTTTAAAAGTAATGAATTACCGGTAGATAGTTTATTGATTGACTAATCTTATAAATTTATCAATAAAATAAAATAAAGCATAAAATAAAAAAAATATTAATCTAATTTCAGAATAAGATGGAAAGGAGGAATTAAAGTGATAAAAAACAAGTGGGTTAATACAGAGAGACAGTAATCACATAAATGAATCTCCTTTGCAGGGTACCCCAATTTGTTCAATGTATTGGGTTCGTAGGATGACTGTCTTAGTTATAGATTTAGCAATTCTGGCTTACAATATGTACAGTTGATCTCAGGAGTAAACATGACAGTCTGTGGCTTGGATCCCACTAGGCTGTTCCTTCCGAAAGGGAGGTTAAGAATTTAAGCCCGGGGTCAAGAGGGGGGATAAAGTTCATCAAGATAAGGTTTTTACCATCAGTACCGTGGGTGGGAGGGGTAGATATGGCGGGAGCAGGGGGCCATATCATGTTAGGGGAGCGCGCACCTGCTGTCTTCGAGCGGTGGCGCGCTCCGGCCCCCAAAGCTCCACTCGTTTTCCAGGTGGCGCAGATCCTCAGGGCCCTGGCCTCCGTCTGATGTTATGCAATGCCAGGTCTGTAGTAAATAAAGCCCCCCTCATTTGTGATCTTGTTCAGGAGGGGCGAGCGGACCTGGCAGGTATTACGGAAACCTGGTTGGGCCAAGAGGGGGGGTCCCTCTTGTTGAAATGTGCCCACCAGGTTTCCGCGCATTCCATCAGCCGAGGTTGCAGGGTAGGGGCGGGGGGGTAGCGGTTATTATTAACGAAGGTCTGAGACCGAGGGAGGCCACTGTTCCTCAGACGGCCGGCTGTGAATCCCTCCTTGTGAAATGGGGCCACGGGGTTCAGATGGGTTTGCTGATCACATACCTGGCTCCCTGCCATGTGGCAGCAGCCCTGCCCGAGCTACTCAGTGTCATCGCCACGGTGGCGGTTGAGACCCCTAGGCTTATGGTCATGGGGGATTTCAACTTGCCGTCCGTTGGTGAGGCATCTGAGGTGGCTCGGGAGTTCATGGCTTCCATGACAGCCATGGACCTGACCCAGTTAATTCATGGCCCTACCCACACGGGGGGAAACATGCTGGATCTGGTTTTTGTCTCTGGACAGTGGTTGAATGATCTCGAGATAGGGGATATAGTCACCGAGCCCTTGTCATGGTCTGATCACTCTCTCCTTCGTCTCGACCTTCGAACCGCTACACCCCGCCGCAGGGAGGCGGAGCCGGTAAGATGGTTCCGCCCCAGGCGCCTGATGGAACCGGATAGGTTCCAGATGGAGCTTGGGCCATTACCTGAGGCTCTGGCACACGCCTCGACTGGAGACCTAGTGGCCGCCTGGGATAGGGCGGCCGCTGGAGCTCTGGATCGGGTCGTGCCTTTGCGGCCTCTGACCCGGCGCCGATCTCATTTAGCTCCTTGGTTCACTGAGGAGCTGAGGGAGTTGAAGCGCCGGAAAAGACGCCTAGAGAGTAGTTGGAGGGCCAGTCTTTCTGAATCTGACCGGACACTGGTAAGAGCTTATATTAGGAATTACCTAGTGGTGATAAAAGCAGCGAAATGTAGCTATTTTGCTGCTCTTATTGCGTCATCAGATAATCGCCCGGCTGCCCTGTTTAGGGTGACCCGCTCCCTGCTCCACCAGGAAGCGCGGGAGGACCCCTTGGAGGGTAGAGCCGAGGATTTTGTCCAATATCTGTATGACAAAATCGCTCAGATTCGGGAAGATCTGGACTCCGACTGGATAGTCTCAGGGGGAGGGACTGGGGCAGGTCTTGAGAATGTTATCTGGGATGAGTTTGATCCTGTGACCCCTGAGGACGTGGACAGGATTCTGGGAACGCGACCACTTGTTTATTGGACCTGTGTCCCTCCTGGTTAGTGCTGGCTTCTCGGGAGGTGACACGAGGCTGGTTCCAGGGGATTATAAATGCTTCGCTGGGTGAGGGTGTCTTTCCTGCCGCCTTGAAAGAGGCGGTGGTGAGGCCTCTCCTCAAGAAGCCTTCCCTGGACCCGGCAATGTTGGTAAATTATCGTCCGGTCTCCAACCTTCGTTTTGTGGCAAAGGTTGTTGAGAGTGTGGTTGCGCAACAGCTTCCCCAGCACCTGGATGAAACGACGTATCTGGATCCGTTCCAGTCGGGCTTCAGGCCCGGGTACAGCACGGAAACGGCATTGGTCGCATTGGTTGATGATCTCTGGAGGGCTCGGGACAGGGGGTGCTCCTCTGTCCTGGTCCTGTTAGATCTCTCAGCGGCTTTTGATACCATCGACCATGGTATCATGCTGCACCGGTTGGAAGAGTTAGGGGTGGGAGGCACTGTGTTGCGGTGGTTCTCCTCCTTTCTCTCTGACCGGTCGCAGTCCGTGTTGACAGGGGGACAGAGGTCGACCCCGAGGCCCCTCATATGTGGGGTGCCGCAAGGGTCGGTCCTCTCACCTCTCCTGTTCAACATTTATGTGAAGCCGCTGGGCGAGATCATCCGTGATTTCGGGGTGGAGTACCATCAGTACGCTGATGACACCCAGCTGTACATCTCCACCCCGGATCACCCCAACGATGCCCTTGAAGTGATGTCCCGGTGCCTGGAGGCCGTACGGATCTGGATGGGGAGGAACAGGCTCAGGCTCAACCCATCCAAGACCGAGTGGCTGTGGTTTCCGACGTCCCGATATAGCCAGTTGACGCCATCACTGACTATTGGGGGCGAATCATTGGCCCCCACGGAGAGGGCTCGCAACTTGGGCGTCCTCCTGGATTCACGGCTGTCTTTAGAAGAGCACTTGACGGCCGTGACCGGGAGGATTTTTTATCAGGTCCGCCTGATTCGCCAGTTACGTCCCTTTCTGGATCGGGACTCGTTACGCACGGTCACTCATGCCCTCGTCACCTCCCGCCTGGACTATTGTAATGCTCTCTACATGGGGCTCCCCTTGAGGAGCACCCGGAGGCTCCAACTGGCGCAGAGTGCGGCCGCGCGGGTGGTAATGGGAGCGACATGGCGCTCCCATGTAACACCTCTCCTGCGCGAGCTGCACTGGCTCCCGGTGGTCTTCCGGGTGCGCTTCAAGGTTTTGGTTACCACCTTTAAAGCGCTCCATGGCTTAGGGCCTGGTTATTTACGGGACCGCCTACTACCACCAATAGCCTCCCACCGGCCAGTACGCTCTCATAGAGAGGGACTCCTCCGGGTGCCGTCAGCCAAACAGTGTCGACTGGCGGCCCCTAGGGGGAGAGCCTTCTCTGTGGGGGCACCTACCATCTGGAATGAGCTCCCCCCGGAGATACGGAGGATCCCGGATCTGCGCTCCTTCCGCCGTGCTGTGAAGACCTTTTTATTCCATCAAGCGGGCTTGGCCTGATCTCTTCCCTTTTTAAAATATGTAAATTTTAATCTGTTTTTAAATTATTGGGGTATTTTAATTTGTCTGGGCCAAAAAGTTTAATTTGATTTTATCGGGTTTTTAAATTTTGTGTATTTATGTATTTTATTGTTGGCTGTTCACCGCCCTGAGTCCTTCGGGAGTAGGGCGGTATACAAATCAAATAAATAAATAAATAAATAAATAAATAAATAAATAAATAAAGCCAGATGGAGGCATATAATTGACAGTCAAACAAAATATGAGTTAGGTGAAATGTGTCCAGTCTATTTCCCATTTTCTTAATTTATGTAGTATTACGTTTTAACCATACTGATATATTGTGGAATACTAATGACTATAAGGAGGCATTCCTTAAGATTTTTTTTCTAGGTACAATAAATTTTTTATATTACTTTTTATATTACTTAAATTACTTCAATACCTTTCTTAATGGTTAGTTGTAGTTTTGGATATTAATCTTCATTCATCTAAGCAGTCCACAATATTTTCATAACCTAAACAATGGTTATTTCTGCTTCTGGCATCTCTTCAAAATATATCCTTTTCTCCCATACAAGTGCATTATATATATTTCTATGCATGTTCAATAATTTCTGTAAGGACAAATAAATGGGTAACCTTCCCTTTCTAGTGTTTCCAGCTCTCATAAAGAATGGAGATAAATACACAAATATCAGGTAAAATATCTGAACATCAGTATTAATGTTCAGTTTTGCAGTTCTCCATAACTATCATAAAAGAGCTATGGAAGACCTGGTCACGAACAATGTGGTATTTCATTGTTTTGGGTTTTTTTTTTACAGCTTCATTCCTCAATATGATACTGTTGATATAACAGATTTAAAATGCATATTATTTGTATCTTTTAGTGTTCAGCACAATCATCTTCAGAAGCCTGGGATTTCACTACACATAATGATACACTGACATCTCAGAAAACAAAATTTAATTTCAGGTAAAAAAAATCCATTTATATTATTTCTTTTTTTCTCTATTTCTATAATACAAATAAGTCTATAATTTTTTGCTTTTAAGAATGTAAATTTATACATATATTGGTTTAACATAACTATTAGAGTAGATAAAGGACTGCAGAAATCTTGTAGTTTAAAAATATTAGCATTTCAACTACATAATGTTGCCATCTAACTTGGGACTCAATGTCATGATGCAAATCTAGAGTAAGGACCTACCACTTTCACTTATTTGAAAACAGCTGTAGGAAGAGAGACAACCCTATGTTAAATCCCAGCTGGTAATTGTAATCTAGTGTCAGATGAATGGCAACTGTTGTGGAAAAAATAGGGGAAAAATGACCACAATTCTTATTACACATAGAATACACATAAATAAGAAACTGTCAACTGTTTCAGCACAATTACATTTAACTACAAAAGGGAATATTTGTAAATATGTGGGATATGATGAAAAAAAAGCTAAGGGGAAAAATCAAAGTGCCAGAACTTTACATAATGCCTGGAGGTTACTTGAGACTTGAGTGGCTTCTATTCCATAGTATAAGAAAGAATCAACCAACATCACCAAGCTATGGAAATTAAAATGGCCCTTTCTGAAATGGACAAAATAAAAAGGAGTACAAACTGAGAAAGAAAAATATTCCAAGCAAGTTAAGGGAAACAATAATAATGTTTTTAGATACACTGTATTTATATCTATATATTTAAAACGTAATAGGGAAGTGATTGATCCATTAGGGTAAGTTATTTTGAAGGATGATTTGGAAATTGCAAAAAAACTGAATGAATTATTTGCATATTTTGCATCTACAGAACATATAGATGTACTTGGTTGATACCTAGGATGCTGGCAGCAACCCCTATCAACCATTAGCACCAATCAATGGTATTTGTGACACATTTTTAAATGTTCAGTTGACTGAGTTTCATGTTTAATGAATAAAACAGATAATAATAATAATAATAATAGTAATAGTAGTAGTAGTAGTAGTAGTAGTAGTAATAATAATAATAATAATAATAATAATAATAATAATAGGCTTTGACAAATTTGCCATCGGTCAATTGCAGAAGGCGGCTTTACTTGGAATTGCTTCCGTCCTGTGACGATATCTGTAACACCGTCAAACATCCAGATTTGCCTATCCCAGGTCCTTGGTAAGGACTCGATAGGTAGACAAAAATGCCAAACCCAATCTGAACATCTGGCTGACTGTGCGATGAATAATAATAATAATAATAATAATAATAATAATAATAATAATAATAATAATAATAATAATAATAATAATAATAAAATTGTGCCAGAAGTTTGGATTTGAGTACAGCAAAAACCACTGGGAACATCAGGTTGAGAAAGTTTTAGAGAATGAGAAACTCAAGATCTTGTGGGACTTAGGATTCAGACTGACAGGCACTTGGTCCACAACACACCTGACATAACAATAGTTGAAAAGAAAAAAGTATGGTTCATTGACATTGCAATACCTGGTGATGCACGGATTGAAGATAAGCAGCAAGAAAAAATCACAAAATACCGGGACTTGCAAATTGAAGTTGAGCGACTGTGGAAAAAGAAATTGTGTGTTGTCCCGATTGTAATTGGAGCCCTTGGAGCAATACCCAAAGGGCTACCCCGCTATTTAGAAATTCTAAATTTGCTGGACTTGAACATTTTGACTCTACAAAAAACCACCTTACTCGGAACAGCTTACATCCTCCGATGATACCTTAACGGTTCCTAGGTCCTTGGTTAGGACTCGAGCTGCTGAGCTATTAACCAGCTTCAAAGGCTGTGAATCTCACTAAAGATTAAATAATAATAATAATAATAATAATAATAATAATAATAATAATAATAATAATAATATATTATAATAATATATTATAATAATTATAATAATAAAGAACAAGCACTACAAACTAATGCCATGAAAACAAAGTTACAAAAAACCACCGACAATCCAAACTGCCAACTTTGCAACAACAAAGTCGAAACTGTTTCACATTTAATATATGAATGCAGCAAAATCACATAAACTGATTACAAAGCTAGACACGACCGAGTAAATTAATCCACTGGTCATTATATAAAAAATACGATTTATCTGTATCCAAAAAGTCATGGGAACATAAAGTGGAAAAAGTTATAGAAAATGAGAAGGTGAAGATCTTGTGGGACTTTCGAATACAGACAGATTGTCACTTGGAATACAACATGCCAGATATCACAGTTGTCGAAAACCGAAACATACAATTTATTGACATTGCGGTACCAGGAGATGCCAGAGTCAAAGAAAAAGAACTGGAAAAAAATGACGAAATTTTGCGACCTGGCCATCGAAACTATATGACTATGAATGAAACGTGTAACAGTGATACCCATTGTCATCGGGGCACTTGGTACCATGTCCAAGAATTTTATAAGATACATCAACAAATTGCAGCTTCCTGCAATAACACCAGCGGAACTGCAAAAAACTGCGCTACTTGGAACATCATACATCTTAAGAAGGTACTTGGTTGATACCTAGGACTCTGACAACAACCCGTATCAACCATTAGCACCAGTCAATGGTATTTGTGATGCATTTTTGAATGTTCAGTTGATTGAGTTTCATGTTTCATGAATAAAGTAAATAAACCGAAAAACAAATCTGTATACAACTTGGATTGACTACAAGAAAGCATTTGATTCACTACCGCACAACTGGATCATCAAGTGCCTGGATGTCTTCGACTATGCAAGTGCATTGGTACTTTCATTGCAAATGCGATGAAGCATTGGGAAACAGAACTGTTTATTGGAAGTGAAAGCTACAGATTGATCAACATCAAAGAGGGATTTTCCAGGGTGATTGTCACCTTTGCTGTTCATCATCGCCATGACCCCTCTGTCAACAATTCTACAGAAAACTAATCTGGGTTATCAAAGTGCTAAAAATTCACAGAAAATCTCTCACCTGCTGTACATGGATGACCTGAAGTTATACAGAAAATCAGAAATTGAAATCCAATCACTGACCAATACAGTTCGAATTTTCAGCACTGACATCAGCATGGAGTTTGGCCTGGACAAATGCACCACAGTGGCACTGAAGAAAGAGAAGATAGTAGAAAGTAATGGAATTAAAATGCCCAATGGACAAACCATCAAGCGCCACCAACCCGAAGCCTACAAATACCTGGGCATACTGCAGTTGGACAACATCAAGCACGGGCAAGTGAAAAATGTGGTCAGCAAAGAATACATACAAAGGGTCAGGAAACTTCTAAAAAGCAAACTGAATGGCGGTAACACCATCAAAGCTATAAATACCTGGGCCATACCCGTCATCAGATATACTGCTGGGATTGTAAACCTGACCGGCAGAGCTGGACAGTCTGGATAGGAAAACAAGAAAACTGATGACCATACACTATGCGCTGCACCCACGTAGTGATGTCGACAGGCTATATTTGCCCAGAAAAGCAGGCGGCAAAGGACTTCTGCAAGTGAAGCAGACAGTCGAAGAAGAGAAGCATGCTCTGGCAGATTATGTGAAAGACAATGTTGAACCAGCTCTGATGGAGATCAACAAGAGGAAGCTGCTCAAAGTGCAGCAAACCAAGACTCAATATAGGAAAACAGCGATGCAAACTCGAGAATGAAGAAATGATAAAGACAGTAAAATCAGAAGAAGGCTACAAGTACTTGGGGATTTTAGAAGCCTCTGACTTAATGCATAATAAAGTCAAGGAATTAACTTCAGCCAAGTACATTCGGTGAATTCATAAGATATTAATGTTCAAATTGAGTGGGAGGAAACATCATAAAAGCCATAAATACCTGGGCTATACCTGTGATTAGATACTCTGCAGGAATAATTGACTGGACCCAGATGGAGTTAGACAATTTGGACAGAAAAACAAGGAAGCTTATGACAATGAATCATGCCTTGCACCCTAAATGTGATGTTGACCGATTATATTTACCAAGAGCAGAGGGTGGTCGAGGATTCTTACAAGTAAAGCAGACTGTGGAAGAAGAAAAACACAGCTTGAATGATTACATCCAGAAAAATGAAGAACCAATGATTAAGGAAGTAAATAAAGGAGGCCTTTTAAAGACAACTAAAACAAAAGCAGAATATAAGAAAGAAGTAATTGAGCAGCGAGCTGAAAATTGGAAAAGCAAAACTCTGCATTGCCAATACTTGAAAAGTATTGAAGGCAAAGCTGAACCAGAAACTAACTTGGAACTGGTTAAGATCAGGAGTACTGAAAAAAGAAACAGAAAGCTTTATTTTGGCAGCTTAAGAACAAGCCCTAGCCACAAACTGCATGAAGGCAAAAATTCAACATGTTACCACCAACAGCAAATGGCACCTCTGCAATGAGAAAGATGAGACAGTCGACCATCTGATCAGTGGGTGCAGCAAAATTTCACAAACTGAAACAACGCCATGACCGTGTTGCTAAGATCATTCACTGGAAATTGTGCCAGAAGTTTGGATTTGAATACAGCAAAAACCATTGGGAACATCAAGTTGAGAAAGTTTTAGAGAATGAGAAACTCAAGATCTTGTGGGACTTTAGGATTCAGACTGACAGGCACTTGGTCCACAACACACCTGACATAACAATAGTTGAAAAGAAAAAAGTATGGTTCATTGACATTGCAATACCTGGTGATGCACGGATTGAAGATAAGCAGCAAGAAAAAATCACAAAGTACTGGGACTTGCAAATTGAAGTTGAGCGACTGGAAAAAGAAATTGTGTGTTGTCCCGATTGTAATTGGAGCCCTTGGAGCAATACCCAAAGGGCTACCCTGCTATTTAGAAATTCTAAATTTGCCGGACTTGAACATTTTGACTCTACAAAAAACCACCTTACTCCCAACAGCTTAAATCCTCCGACGATACCTTAACAGTTCCTAGGTCCTTGGTTAGGACTTGAGCTGCTGAGCTATTAACCAGCCTCAAAGGCTGTGAAT